CCACCAGCGGTGCAACGTCACACTCCCGCTCAGCAGCGTTCGTGAGTGCTGCCGCCACCAAGTGAAGGTGGGTGCCGGGCTGCAGGCTGGCATGGGAGGGCGTGGCCCCTGGGCATGCCTGCCATCTGGGCAAGGGCGTGCAGGAGGCCAGCTCTTGGACTTGTGCTCTTGCTGGGGTCTAGCGCAGCACGGTCGGCATACATGGAGAAGTCCTGCCTCTGTCACCCGGGTGGTGTCCCTTGCCCTCCCCTCCCAGAGGGAAGATACACCTACCAAGTGCGCAGACATGGTGGGGTGGAGCCCCAGGACCAACTGTACTCCTGTAGCCTCTATGGGCCAGACGGCACCAGGCAGGGACCCCATGTCCCCCCACAAGCCCCTCTCCTCCCTGGCCCCTCTGCCTCCGCAGATCCAGCCTTTCTTCCGCAGCTGTCAGAACGACTGCATCCGATACGCCAAAAACATCAGCTGCCCAGAGGCCCGGGCCATGCCAGGTGGGAAGGGGCGAGGCTGTGCTGGGACGCAGTGTGGGGAGCAGCTGGAGGACGATGGGCAGTTTGCACTGCAGCCCGGCTTGGTTCGAGGGGCGAGGGAGAGCTTCGTGTAATTGGGAGTCATTTAGGGCTGTGGCAGCACATAGGACGCTGCAGTGTCGTTGCCCTGGGTTGGACTCCTGACTGCCTTCCCTGGACAGTGTGATGTTAGGCAAGGGACTTTAACCTTTCTTTTTTTTCATTGACATCTCTTACTCATTCCAATAGATCTATTTGCATAAAGTTCTGTTGTCCAATCCCATCGGGTGTGGTTATACAAATCTTCAGTGTCATCCGTTCCCCTGACCCCCTCTCCTACCCCGACCCCCCACCCACTTTAACGTTTCTGATCCTCAGCTCCCTTGAATGGAAATTGGAGATTGTTTTTATCACTGACTTATCGTGATCCTTGGAGTCCCCTGGGTGGTGCACACAGCTCATGAACTTGGCTACTGACCAAAACAATGGGTTCAAGAGGCCTCCCAGAAGTAAGGCCTGGCCTGAGCCAGCCAGCTCCCACAGGCCAGCCTGGAGTGGAAGGGCCCTCCCTGCGCAGACCAGAGGAATGAGCAAGGCCAGCCCTAGAGCGGCACTCTCCAGCCAGACAGCTTCTGGTTGGAGCTCACACCGGCTCCTTGCTGGTCTCGGCCCACAAGTCCCTACAAGTTCCTAGTGTTTTGTGCCTCTGGCCAGGGATGGTACTCAGGAGACGGCAGTTTCAAGTGAGGTAAACCAAGACAC